CATCTCGTGGGGACTCTGGGTACACGGCAGGGTAATAGAAACCCTGTGTGAGATCCAGAGGAGCGTGGCGGCCTGATCCACCGCCCACCTCTTCCCGTCTTCGAGCGCGACTAATATAAGACGTATTTACGATTTCTACATTGGTGGCCTGTTCACCCAGAGCATCCGGAGCTCTGCACCGTGGAGCCTAGCAACCTCCACGAGACCGTCTGTGTTGTGTCTGTCTGTAACTGCAACTTAATTAAGCTTTCCAGCCTACACCATTGCCATCTCGGTGTAAGTAAACAATCTTTTAAACTACCGATACGCGTCCGTGCCTAATTCCAGAGCGAAGGCCTTCCCTCTCCGCCCCCACGTGCCCGGGCTGCTGGCCACAGCCTGCGTGCAGCGCGGAAAAGGGCTCGGGGCGCTCCCGGCCCACACAAGTACTTCTTTTGAAACCCTACAGCCAAAAGTCTATGCTCCTAAACTTACTACTTTGAGTAATTCTAACAATTTAAGTACCTAAGTAAGTACTGTGCCCAGTTGAGTACTAGGCTTTCAATCTAGCTATTTTCCTGTGATGATTAATTCCCACAGCCTGAAGAAACAATGGATCCAACAGCTGGGCAGCCTAAGGAATCAGTTGCTCATATGTATGGAAGTCTCCCTGAAGTCCCTGGATTTCGAGTGACCTGCTTAGCAAAGCTACCTTGGAGCTGAGGACTTTGGAATACCTGGAAGGTGCTGAGTAAATCTGACATGGTTACACTCAGGTTTCACTGCTGCCTAAATAAATGAATATTCATCATGTTATTCAGTCATGGGCATCATGAGTGAATAACACAGTAAAAGAAATGTGTCAATTTTATTCAGTGGTTACTAGTGCTCTGGGCTGTAAATTCCATTTCAGAACCAACATCTTTCATTTTTCCCAAAATGTTTTTTTTTTCTCCCAAATTTTTCCTTGAAACATTTTAATGTCCTGCAAACCAGAAAATAAATGTTTCTGTCAGTTCTATTCTTCAGGTTTCACCATGGAGAATCTGTCAGGACACAGGAAATTAACAAATAGCATAACTGCACATAATTGTACATTGTTTTTGTTAAAATAACTAACGTGGATTAAATTAGAAAAAAACAGTAAATAATAGTCCCCGATTCAAAAAGCACAGAAGAAAAACCCCAGCCAGTCATTTCTGGTAAAATGTACAATTCCATTCCCATAGTATTTAACATGTCCTTTTTAATAAATGTTCAAAAAATGGGCTGAATGTATCTCTACTACTGCTAAGGATTATTAACTGCACGGAGAGGGAAAGTGGCATTTATTAGGGCTGTGCAAAATTTCACCAGATGTTTCATTTCAAAGTTGTTTTAATGTGTTTCGAGCTCAAAACAGTGAAATCAAAATGAAACAAAAGGCTTTAAAACAGCTTCAAAATGAAATGAGGGCACTCAAAATATTTAGAAAGTTTCGAAACATTTTGAGTTTCGAACCCAGGCTTACTTGGTTTCAGCACCATTCCGTCGGCAGCAGCAGCCTCCTCTCATCCAGCACACAGATCCAGGGGCCCGCACCCTGGGAGGGCTGCCAAGCTGTGCTGGACTCCTCCCAGGAGTGTGAGCCCCCGGGTCTGCCGCTGCCACTGCCACATGGGACAGGAGACAGCAGCAATCTTCTCTGGTGCTGGGCATGGGCTGCACCCACCACCAAACCCAGGTGGAAGCCTTCTCTCATCTGGCATGCAGATCCAGGGCCCCACCCCCCCAGAAGGAGGCTGGCACAGCCCCTCAGCCCTCCCACAGGGGTGGGCCCCCGGATCTGCATGCCAAATGAGAGGAGTGCCACTGCCAGCAAGTGTCAGGAGTTGTATTTTGAACAGTTTGAGGTGCAGTTTCCCAGAAACCTCTGCACCTATCTCCTTGAAACTTGGCAGGCTTTGTGCCCTCAGAAGGCATCCCTACAATTTGCATCCAAATCAGGCAAGAAATGACAAAGTCTTAGGCATTTGCATGAGTCCCCATTATAGCTTTCGGGTGAAACATTGAAATGCGCCAAGAAACAGTTTAGACTAAACAAAATGGGACAGTGCTTTGAAATGAAATAAAAGGATGTCAAAACAAAACAATGGTCTTTCACACAGCCCTAGCATTTATATTGTATTAGACAAATTTGAGTACACAGCAAAGCAAAGCTCTTTGATACCATTAAATAGCAGATTTTCTCCATCAAGTGAAATACGCCTAATATCTATATTTTTACATTTATCTTCAGAACTGGATTTAACATTTTAAGAATAACTAGCAGTTGAATTTTGCACATTATTTTTTTTACTTAGTATTATTTACATAGCAACCAAAATCATGCTGGATATTCTCCAAAAAATAAAAAGGCAGTTCCCTCATGTAAACAGCATACTGTCTAAGCATTATAAATAGAAACATCATTCATTTTCCAGAGACAAACTACAAACAAAATTGACTATTTTTCCAATATAGTATGGCAAATTCTTTACCTGTAAACTACTTTAATCTACTCCAGGACATTTAAGCTAGGGACATTCAAAAAGCCTGAGCCTGAATTGATTCAATCAGGTTAGTCTAACCTGGCTAACCTGGCTAAATCAGTTTTGTAACCAGACAGACATCCCAGAAATGCAAGCACATGCCTGCAGTGGCTCAGGCTTGAAGCCAGGGGGAACAACAGCAGCCTCTCAGAAGGCTGAGCTGAGGTGGGGGGTGTAGCCAGGCCTGGCAGGATGCTCTAATTACAGAGGGATCCCCCGCTCATTGATAACGGAGCATTTATCAGCTCTGTTATCAGCATTTATCACCCCATCAGAAAATAAAGTCTTGCTCATTGCAAGCTCTTCTTAAACAGCTTGTTTCAAAGGAAAGTGCACCCCAGCCTATGACTTCTTTACTATTCATTCCATCCAGGAAGAGTGCACACTGACTGCAGATGCTTCCTCAGCCTCACGAAGGGTTTTTAAACCCAAAAGCCCTTGCTAAGAAAAACAATTCCAACTATTTAGTTAGTATAATAAAAGATTTCATAGACATTTGGGCTGGAAGGGACCCCGGAGGATCATTGAGTCCAGCCCCTTGCCCCAGGGCCAGGAAGTCAGCCATTCCCCCAGATCCTGATGAGCACCCCTGATAAACTTATAGGTGGCCACCAGATCACCCCTGAGCCTGCACTTTTTCAGGCTGAAGAGCCCCATGGCTCTCAGCCTCTCATCATAAGGTCTGTTTTCCTGACCTCTGATCATGTGCGTGGCTCTCCTCTGCAACCTCTCAAGCTTCTCCATGTCCTTTTTGAATTGTGGAGCCCAAAACTGGATGCAGTACTCCAGCTGCGGCCTCACCAAGGCCGAGTACAACGGGAGAATGACATCCTGGGATTTGCTTGAGAAGCATCTATGGATGCAAGCCAGCATTTTGCTCGCTTTACTAGCCACAGCATCACACTGAAGGCTCATGTTCATCTTGTGGTCAACCATGACCCCCAAGTCCCTTTCATCTGTAGTGCTAACCAGCATAGCACTACCGAGCCTATAAGGATGCTGCAGGTTTTTCCTCCCAAGGTGGAGAACCTTGCATTTTTTGGTGTTGAACACCATCAGGTTCTCATCCGCCCATTTCATGAGCCTGTCAAGATCCACCTGGATCACCCTCCTGCCCTCAGGTGTGGATGCTTTACCCCAGAGTTTGGTGTCATTGGCAAACTTGGCCAGTCTGCCTCTGACAGCAATGTCCACATCATTGATGAAGATGTTAAATAGAATAGGCCCTAGGATAGAGCCTTGAGGGACCCCACTGGTCACAGTGCACCAAGATGATTGGCTCCCGTTGACCACCACCCTCTGGGTCCTACCGTGGAGCCAATTACCCAGCCAGCAGATCGTGGTGAGGTCGAGGCTGTTGTTAGCCAGTTTAGCCAAGAAGTGATCATGGGATAGCCAGATTTACCCAAAAAACCTTATCTGCCTTTTCCAAAGGAAGGAATGCAGGGACATTACCATCTGAGCTGTTGATTACCTCCAAAAAGCCCTAAGTGGACACTGTCCTCTCTGCCTTACACAGCATTAGCTAGCAGACCACATGTTGGCTACAGTCTGTGCTGTGGGAAAGAGGAGGAGTGGATCTCTGTTTAAGCAGTGAGTGGTGAGGTGGGGGAAGAGGGGGGCATGAAGAAGCCAGGCAAACCCTGCTGTGCCTGCAAGTCTCTTCCGGAGCTCCAGCCAGGGAGCAGAGGGGAGGGGCTAGCCCTGCTGTGGAGCAGACAGCCCTGACCAGAGAGCATGCCAGGATGCTGGGGGTGTCTGGTTTAGTTTAAACCAGCAAACGGTATGGGACAGACATTGCATGAACTGGTTTGACCCAAATCAGTTAAGTCTGATACTACATTCAACCAGGTTTATCTCACACTGCTTTCAGCCATTTTAAAACTGGTTTATGTGCACTGAACATCTGTTCTGTTACAGGTTTAAACCAGTTTCTGATTGCTTAAACTGGTTTATGTGTAATATCTATCCCTAGCCTAAAGGGTATATATAGTAGGCACCATAAAAGTGCCTGTTCATGACTGCATGACTCAAAATGCCATATCGCTTTTTTCTGATAAAGATCTGAACATTCAATAACACTAGGTGTAGAATGACATAATGAAATAAATCAGACAAACATAGAAACCATTCCACTTTCTAAGGCTTCAATCCTGCAAACATTGTGTTTTCAGGTTTAATTTGTTTTTAACATGCCTTTACACATTCCCACCCAAACAAAATTAAACATGTTTTGCAGGACTGAGGTCTATGATACCTTGCAAAACTTAGTGACCTGATTTCCCATTGTCCACATTACTTTTAAAAGTGGAGGCTAAGATTTTGGCTTTCATGCATACCCTTGTGTGCATCCTGACATTTTTCAAACATTTAAGAAAGGGATTAGCCCCAATTCTTTGAACAGAATGAAATAATTAGAAAAATGATCTCTTACCTTCCAAGTCTTCCTTTTCAAAATGTGTTTTGAGAATGGAGCGTGTTCCTCCTCTATCCACAACAGCCTCTTCATCATTTCTCTGCAAAACAGAAGTGAAAATGTATAGGGGATTTTCTGCCTGTAAACTGCTAGCAAGATTGAAGATGGAATATATAAATAATTTTTATTTCCACTTATGTTATTTTTGTCTCTGAAATAATAGAGATTTAAATAATCTCTTTTTCCTTATCAAAATCTACTATTCATACAGTAACTGTTACTATGTTATGGTTTAAACTGGCATTAACACAAAGAAAGTAGATCTGTGGTGACATCATATGTGAGCTAGTAAGAGAACTCTGATATCTAGGGAATAAAGAAAATTGTGAGCCAGTAAAATGATGAGAGATGTGGAAGAGATGAGAAAGTTATATTACTTGGTTCAAAGTAACTTATTTATACATGCATTTTTAGTTCTAAAAACAGAAGTCCTGTAAACAAGATGATATTCTGAACTATGTGCAAAAGTCCCACATCATTATCATAGGTAATACTATAGCAAAATTGAAGAACACTAATCTCAGTAACAACAAGTCGATAGAATTTAATCCCAGAAAAGAAAGTGGTCTCAATTATCAAATTACCTTTAATATGTTTACTTGTCTTGTTTCAGTACAGATCCATTGTGGGCAGACAGAACATTCTAATAGCAGACTGCAGGCAATCTATTATTTATTTGGCCATACAGAATACTCCAAATTTATACTGTACTTAAACTATATACTGCAATAGTGTAAGAAGATGGCATAATATATTCTGACTATACTATGAAAGTGAGTATTTCATACCCTGAGATATTATAAATGTGCTATATTTGTAACTGTCTACTTTTATATTGTATATGGTTGTGATCAGGTTGGAAAGCAAGACAAGCTAACAGTTTTAGTTATTTTGAGCACTCTTTAAGGATTAAATATATATTTTTTCCTGGGGGATATTCGTAGAGACCTACTGAATTCATGGCAGAAGTGGGCTGTGCAGCAGCAACTTTAATCTTGCAGGTTCCCTCATGCATCCCCTCTCCCCCGATTGGCGGAGGGTCCTGCCACTCACTCCCAATAGGCAGGGAGGCAAAAACCACAGTTTTAAAGATGTCAGTTTTTGTGCTTCCTGGCCAGTCAGCAACAAACAGGAGGGCCACTGGGGCCCCTCAGCCAATCAGCAAAGGGAGCAGGGCATGGTGCATGGTAAGTGATTTTGGTAGGACCCTAAATAATAGCCCTCTGGGAAGTCACCCATGACACATGGACCAGGTACTAAGCTGAATGCTGGTTTCCCAAGGAACTTGAAAATTATTATAGCAAAAATAATTACTTCATAAGATGAGCTTGATAGTGAATGACTACTGGGTAAAATGAAAAGAACAAGATGAATTAAACAAAATCATGCATTAGTATACAATGAATTAATATTACCTGACACCAGCGAAAGGGGTTTAGTAACTGATATAAGTATTAGATCTCCTAACTTCCATATTTGAAACCTGAACCCTAGTGGAAGTCTGGAGCAGAACGGTTGCTTAACAGAAAACACAGGGATCCTAAAAATGCTTATGACAATAAAAAGGAATAAAACAAAAAAATGTATCATAGATTCATAGATATGAATCTATGAATCATGGGAGCACTGCCCCTTGAAGAAGACAGGCCCAGCAACAAAGTTTAGATCTAGATCTCTATCTCAGGCATCTTCAAATCTAAGGTTTTTTGGTTCAGATTCATCCCTTCCCCAAATAACTATTATTATGCTGTAGCTATTTTATACAGGAGAGTCCTGGAACTGAGTCAGCACCAAGCATCTGGGCTGTTAAAAAAAAAAAAAAAAGATTGTTACGATGTCTTTATTAAAACGTTCTGTCAGACAGTAGCACATAACAGAAATCTGACAAGGAGGAATGGGTCTTGAAACCATTTTGTCTTTTAAGAAATTTAAATGACCAAAAAAAACCCTATTAAATGCACCAACACAATATTTTTTATAAAAGCCATTTGATCACGTTAACATCACAGATAAAATTAATCCATTATTTTCAGCAGCAGAACACAACTGGGTGTGTCATACTGGAATGCTGCCATGCCCCTGGGTGAATTGTTAGGCGGGAAGCCAAAGGCCAAGTGTTACAGCCATGTCAGAAACAATGCTACTCTAGCATGAGTCATACCCAGCAGCGTCTTGCTGTGATTATTAAGTGGCCCTATGGAAACAGCACTATGGAAAAATCCATACTGCAAAAAAAATAAATAAATGGTTATAACAAGTCCATACATCTGTAGCCCAGCTAAGAACAACAAATAAAAACGTATTAACACTTATCAAAACAGGTATATACCATTTTCTGACTTTTTCTTTTTGTTTGCATTTCTGATAGTTTTTCTCCTCTTTTCCCCTTCTCTCTAGTGTCTCAGCAAGACTCAGTCTCTCCTCCCCAGAAAAGAGTTTCTTCCATTAACATCAGGTAGAAAAATTAAATTGAGAGTTATGTGCTACATCTGATTCAATTGTCAAACCCTGAGTGAAGCCCAATTAAACAGGCCTTACAGTGTGGCACTCTGACTTCCCATAGAGCAGCAGGAGAGTCACTCTGTGCTCAATAATGCAATAATGTCCATTGTTCCTGTACTGCCTCTCTTTGGGGGTCCAGTAAGTAGATCTGAATGCTGAAGTTCCAGTCTCAATTGGGGTGCCTGCTCACTATAGCAATACAAGGAAAAAAGTATGTTGTCATCCCAGGGTGACTAAAGACTTGGAAATTAATTTCAGTAGTAATGTATTGCTTTTTATTAGTGTTTCAGCAAAACTGTGTTGATTATAAGTATTTACTATTATAATAAGTGAGATGCTATAATAAATCAACAGAAAGTACAGGCCCAGACAGCCATATGACACTGGAAGGTAGAATTCATACACTAGATGATTCCTGGTGATATTCCATACACAAAGAATAATTTCCTTTATTAAAAGTGCCCCTTCCCAATCAATTTAAAAACAGTAAAAATTAAAATAATTAAAACTCCAACCACAACTGTTTTGAATTCTTGCCATGTACCCCCACTGGAACAGCAACAGGCCTTGGAACCACAGGCTTATCATAACCACAAATTCTATTACACATCATAGTTGTAGCTTTGCTTCCTTTCAACCTGTTTTGAAGGGGCTAAAGATCATCAATGTTATATGCAGTACAGATTTCCCAGGACTAAAGTGTTCAAAATATCTTGCTATTTGGCAGCAAATTTCCAAAAATGTATGGACACACTGACCAGGAGCAAGTCCTTGGAACTGTCCATTATTGGAAAGAGATGCTTGCTGGTGCCAGTGAACAGTGTGCTCAAATCATGGGAGTCAAGGTAGTCCTGGGAGCCAGGAAGTCCTGAGTTTTAATCCTGGCTCTGTCCCTAATTTCGTGTGTGGCCTTGGGAAAGCCACGTTATCTCTGTCCCAGCTTTCCCATCTGTAGAATAATAATCATCATCATCTACCACCTTTCTCACTGGGGTGGTTTCTGGTATCATTAATAAAGACCCATAAAGAACTATGAAGTTAGAAAGCTGTATACAGGTGTCAAGTATTTTATTTCTGGACGGTTCCCATTTTATACATGTAAAAAGATGTCTTGATATTTAACAGCAGAACACTAACCATAGGATATATTTATGTATAAAATACACTTGCTGAAAGCAAGACTACCTCACATGCACTCTGTAATGTTTCTTTAGCAGGGGTCCTAGTTTTCCCTGATAAAAAAAATAAATCACAAATTCTCTGATAAAAAACAAAAAATTCATGATTAAAATGAAAAGCACCCTCTCCCACCCCCAGCCCTGCTGGTGCCCCACACTCCCATCCCACAGCCCCCTGGCTCCGCTGGTGGCCCTCACTAGCC